TAAATCCTAGCCGAAACTCATTAGATAAAATTATTCCATAATCTAGAAGGTAACACTGACTTTCAAAGCAAAATGGTTCCAAAATTTTTAGTCTCGTCACAATCAGCGATACAAATTATAATGAAAAGTCATTCAGTTGATGAGTCTCAAAAAGAACAGAAAGTGACATTGTAAATGCCACCGTTGAACAACAGAAGAATAAAACCCGTAACATCTTAATTAACGTTTATTGAATTAAGAGAAAATCAATAGACTGTTGAATAGCATGCTAACCATCTGTACACTTTATAGTATCAATCAAGAAATTAAACTTACAACCAAATCATTCGTTTGATTTGGTAGTTGGCTATATTTGTAAACGTTTGTTTGACTAATTTCAGATACTGGCGCCAATTATACATCATATATGAATAAAAATAAGGTAGATATAAGTGGAAAAAAATGATTTATAACTATGGTTTTAGATTTAGTCGATTTTTACAACTTATTTTTATCGTATTATTTTCTTTGAATTACATCATGTAAAATGGGTCTATTTTGACTTTGGTAATAAGATGATTTTAATCAGTAAGGGGTTTTGTGGATATCATAGTAATTTAATAGTTGAATTCATAAGACGATTGAAGCTAAACCACCATGGAACATCTGGACGTACTGGACGGGCGTTTCGTCCCAGTATAGGACTCCCTAGTAATACACACACACACGAATAATCATGTTGTTATTCCTCGTTTATTACATAAACTATTCATGATCTTTTGTTAAGAACAAGCACTAATAAAGCTTTCTTTTCAGTAGCAGCTTTAGGATTTCCCTATCAATCTATGGACAAGAATGTGGTAACTTAAGTGTTCACCGTTTCAAGGAACTGCATATATATGGTCACTCATATGATGTATTTAGTGAACAGATTTTCGGTTTTATTTCAATTGATGACCTATGTAACATTTTTTTCATAGCAAAAAAATGCAGAGTTGCACATTTGTATTTTGTTTGGTTGTGAAGTGAAAAAATCCAATAGGCAAACTCTTGATTTTTAGATATCATAATTGTCGGCGAGAAACCAAATGATCGGTTTGTAAAGTTTAGCAATGAAACAAAACATGATAGTCTCTATCATTGGTAACTGTTGTTTCAGTGTCTGTACAACAATAGAATTAAGGAAAAGGCTGTATTTATTCTTTGAAAAATCGCTTAAACTGAGTCGCAAGAAACGTATGAAAATCTGACTTCCTTTACTCATTGTCATATTACAAATATACAATTGCATTTACCATTTAGTCTTATTATCCATATGTGTCGAACAAAAACTGAGTTCATTGGTAAATTCAAAGCAAAATAGAAAGAGTAGTAGTAGTAGTAGTAGTAGTAGTAGTAGTAGAAGTAATAGTAGGTAATGAGTTATCTACACTGTGTTTCATACAATAATCTTCACCTGAATTGTCGGTTTATTCCATTAGTCAACCAACACCAATACTTTTGTTGAAATCTCCTCATCCATATTTCAGGTGTATCAAAGTTAGCTACTGAAACTGTCATATATTATTGCAAATAATTGAAACAACAATTGATAAACTGTGTACTTCTTAATTTTGTATATTCTCTCTTCTACACTTTTGCTGCGGTTGCTATCAAACTTCAGTAGTTTTAGTCATGACCAAATTTATTTCAATTTTAGTCCGAACAGACAGAACTGTTCTTGCGTAAAACCTATTGGTATGGAACCTAACGACATTGCTGCCATACGTTATTTAATCGGCTAGATAGAAGAGTGAACGAGCAGAATATGTTACAGATCACTAATATAAATACCAGAATGGTGACGAATTTGTTGAGTGAAGTGTAGAGTCAGTTCATAATATAGAAGACTATAAGTGGGCAAATGAAAAACTAGACATTGCTTTATTTGATAGATGCAGTTTGTTCTACTTGGTCACTAACAGATTCACAATTCTAATAAGTAATTCGTGATTCCAAAACTGTCATTTAATTCAGAGTGATTTATCAAATATAACTCATTGATGTAAAAATAGATGTAATCTGTAAATTTATGTGACAGTTATATGAATGATCTCTTCCTCTTCTTCAGACAAGGCTGATTACTCTCTCACTTGCTCTTTCTTCTGGTGGTCGACTGGATTATGAAGACCTCGATGTCTGAGGGCAAGCACGGAATGCAATGGACGGCTCGAAATCAATTAGAAGATTCGAGCTTCGAAAATGAGCTGGCCCTTCTATCCCATACCCATCAACAAATGCAGATTGAGACAACTAGTATAGCAGCAGCCTCTATACCAGTAGGGCTCAATATACACAAGGTAAGGAGCAAGATCCTCAAACACAACATGGAGAACACCAACACAATCACACTTGATGGAGAAACTCTGGAAGCTGTGGAGTCTTTCACTTAACTGGGAAGCATTATCGATGAACAAGGAGGATCAGATGCAGATGTAAAGGCGAGGATTGGCAAAGCAATAGCAGCATTCCTACAGTTGAACAACATATGGAACTCAATACAATTGTCTGCATGTCAACATCAAAGTCACCATCTGTAATACGAACGTCAAGACAGTTCTACTGTACGGAGCTGAAACGTGGAAAACTACTACAAACATCATCAAAAAGGTACAAGTATTTATAAGCAGTTGTCTACACAGGATATCCGCTGGCCGGATATAATCAGTGACAGCTTACTGTGGGAGAGAACAAACCAGACTCCATCTGAAGAGTAAATTAGGAAAAGACGTTGGAATTGCCTAGGACAAACATTACGGAAATCACCTAACGGTATCACGAGACAAGCCCCAACTTGGAACCCTAAAGGGAAACGGAAAAGAAGATGACCGAAGAACACACTACGTTGAGAATTGGAAACACACATGACAAGGATGAATATCAACTGGAAAGTACTGGAAAGGATTATCCATGACAGTGTTGGATGGAGAATGTTGATGTGTGGCCTATGCTTTTCTTCGAGGTGAAAGTAAATAATTAATTAATTAAGTAAGCAAGTATATGAATGATCTGTCAATATAACAGCTGATTATATAAGAACTAGAATGTATAAACAGTCATATGTTTGTGGGCGACAATCAGCATCATGAAACGGAAAAAAATGTTTAATGGAACAGTCAAGGTCAAACGTGAACAACAAGTTTTCGTCATCACTAGTCATTCCATAAATCAAGTGATATGAAAAATGTGAATGACGAATGATTGATAGAATAATAAGCCTATGTTAACTATCCCAAACAAATATGTACACGGTGTGTTAACAAAATACTTGATTACGAACTCTTAGTTTATTTAGTACTGCTGAATCCCTACTGAGTTTGTCCATGCTACTGCATTGTTTCCTAGATCTGAAATTAAAACACAACTACTTTAAGTTGTGATACTACTCATTATGACAAATGTTATCGAACGTAACTTCAACGGTAAAATTTGCTTATGTTTATGTAAAAAAGGAATTAGTAGTGTATCATACGTTAAAAAAAACACTGAAGTTGATTGCAATAAGGAAGATCTGAATATAAATCATAACCATGTGTGGAAAAAGTCAAACAACAGAAAACTGAATAGGTTGTGAATACTTTTGTAGTGACAAAATAAATATTAGGGAAATGGTAACTTTGGGGACTATTTTACACTATATATATATGTTACATAATCATTAAATGAATGGATTATTATAAACGTGTATTTCCTTTATCATAAGCTTCCGTTAGACTCATTGACTGTTCACATATGTCCTACCATGCCTTAATTGTTGTTGGTTTACTATTCATATTATGCCACATTCTGTCGCTTACAGCTTGATAATATATGTAGAGTAGGATTTTGTTCCTCGAGCGTGTTGTGATCTGATGATTCCAATATAGTATCCATGAATCTTTGAAGTATAGAAGCTCGTCTGCTTTGTTCTCTTACTGGGTTCAGTATTGGGATACAAGAAAGTCGTGCGTTTTTCGGACCAGTACTTACATACTTACTTACGCCAGTCACCCCTCGTGGAGGAACATAAACCACCCACCAACACTCTCCATCCAACCCTGTCCTGGGCAATCCGTTCCAGTTCCTTCCAGATGCTATTCATCCTTTTCATGTCGACATCCAATTCCCGACGTAGTGTATTCTTCGGCCTCCCTCTTGGTGGATTAGTAGGTGTTAGATTATTTCGTCACCTCTCAAGCTTAATTGTGCCAGTTTAGCCCAATTATTGGTCACGTCCACATCGTTATTTTGTAGATTAGATGGTATACTCGAGTCAGAGACATAACTCCAGATTCTGGTTGATGAATCCACTCCAGTAGATCAATTAAGAATTTTGTAGCTAAACCAATTACATAAAAGTTTTATTAATGTAAAAGTATTTTCTCTTATTATTCCTTATTAGCATGTACAACAATGTTGTTGATGTGAATTCAACTGCTAAAAATGTACTACTTACTCTATGCAATGAACACAGACAATCGTTCTTTAACATTTTAAATTGTTACCCATTCAATTTATATGAAAAATTGAATATTTTCACTTCCAAAGAAAACACCTAAAACTTTGTGTAGAGTAAATTATTCAAACTCAAATCCACAAATTCAATATGTTCTATCTAACTTCAGTAATTACATAATAAATTGTAACTGTCATTCAGTCTCTTTAATGAGCTCCCTTTCCTCTTATCAATGTCAAAAAAATATTCACTATTAAAAATCTAATAAAATGAAGATATAAATTGAAACAAAATCCAGAGTGTACGGATTTAAAAGAAACATAAGCTGCACCAATGCTGGGGTAATCAGCCGATTATCTAAATTGCATCACTTTGTATACCACTTAGATAATAAATTATTTACTTCATTTTCCTTCTAAGGAAATAATTATCTGACATTGGTCTACCTAGAATAATTATTTTACAACTACTTTATTAAATAAAATAAGTTTTAGTTTAGGCATTAATTGGTATGATTGGATCGCTACTAGAAAAAAGAAAGCAAATCTACACTTGTATCATTTTCTTTTTATCAAGGTTTTATAATAACCACAAGTATTACGTAACATAAGCAAGTTAACATGCACAATAATATCAATTCACGAATTTAGCTAACTGATTTATAGATAGATAATTAAAAGATGATCTGATTGATTCAATAAATGTAAATGGCATTGTGTCATTTATTATTGATTAAGTAATTCACACATTACACAATTAGTACAGAATAATTAAATATTGAGAAATAACTAAGTCAAACTACCAACAGTGACAACAACAACGAAAAAAAACATAAGAAAACAAGATATTGATGAATGTTTTAAAGATAAGTCAAATCAAAACGTGGAAAGTATTTATCATCAATGTGCTGAATAAATAACAACAACAACAACAACAACAACAACATCAAATTACACAGTATTCATCTTCTGAAACTAATTTCATAAAAATTAATTTGACAATCTTCTTAAACGACCAATGTAAGGTAGATAAAAGCTTCCAGTGTATAAAGTATCATCATGTTCTAGTACTTCACAAGCATTTGGTAATTCATTTTGAAAATCTTTCCAAATTTCAATTACCTGTCCATTTTCATCTAAACGAATTAACATTGATGATTTTCCTTTCGGTATTAGTGGGAATGGAAGCATCGAGATAATCTGTTGCAAAGATAGAAAAAAGTAATGAAATACTGAGTTCATACTTAGTTTAGTGTGAAATTGCATAGAAGTTAAATATGTGTCACTAGATTCTCTGATCTACCTGTATCATAATTCATTTTGAAGGTATTGCGAAGTTCATTTCAATTCGTGATTAGATACAGCTACAGATCTACATTAGTTAAGGTATCGATGAAAATCAGGGAACATTTTTCGGTTGTTCCGTTGCAGTGCGGAACCCCTCAGTTTTTGCTCTTGCTAAAGCAGCGATATAGAATCGTTTGACCCCTATTCATTTTCTCTGAAATGAGTTCAGTAGATTTTATTGGGATTCAAGACCGGTGGAAGTCAACCATGCCGGCAGTGAGACAGTCTTTCTCAATGCCATTATGTAATTGTAATGCCATGTCATTAGTTGGTTGAAGTTGAAAATGTCCACATACACTGTTATTGGTTTAATACTCGACTGCCAAAGAATTCAAAAATGGAGTGACAATAAGATGAAAAATATTGAGTATAAAAATGTAGGAAGATTATTAACCGTACACTGGAAGCCAACTGACGAATAAAAGGATAAGCTGGTAGATAGTTGAGTAGAAGTTCAGATAGAGGCTCGTCACGAAGAGGTGATACAGGGACCCAATATCCACCACGTGGACTGGCTTTGATATTATCCGGAAAACCAGGTAGCCCATCACTGAACACGGTCACTTCACCTCCATCTAATGGAATTCGTAGAATTTGAAGTTTCATTGTTTCAACGAGTAATATGGATTTTCTGTCACTAGAAATTTCGATTCCGTTGGGAAAGCGTAAACCATCCATTATGTGACTGTATTGACCAGTTTTTGTATCAGCCATTGTTAACCTAGAGAAATGTTTAAAGAAGAAACGTACATTAATGAGGATTCGTGTTCCAAAAATACAAATGATTGGAAGGTGTATTCAAAGTTTATTTCATGAAGATTCTAAAGTACATCGGATTGGTTTGATCTTATCATAGCTTTGACAGTTATTGAAGTCTATTGTTTTGTCCATATCTGTTTTGTACATTTTTAGGTTTATTTCCCAGAATATAACGGTGACATCGTTGTTACGCGCATAAAAGTTACTAAGAACAATGTGATATTTGTATACAAGCCCTTGGTTCCCGATGGTCATTGGAATGATGCTTCATTGTATTCAAACCAAGTTATTTGGTGATTATTTAACAGCATTAAAAGACTTGATTGTAAACATTTAGAAACGAAGTATCCATCTGACTCATTGTCAAAAGAAAAGAGGCATTAATGCTTGTTCAACCGTATATTTCACTTAATCTTTTAAAGATAGTTTCCGTTTAGTAAATATTAATAATTTGTGTTGAATTTCTCCAGAGAAATCAACACCGAAGACTGAAAGGATACATTTACCAATGCTGTGTACTGTGTAACACGTTTTTGTCTTAAGAGTTAGGGATTTAATTGTTGTCATGAAATTTATTGGTAAACACTGAATCTTTTGCTTTGGTCTTCTAGTTACACCTCAATGGAAAATGTTGCCGTTAGGATATCAAATATGCATAGATGCTTATTAAGACCAAACGGAATATGCCGAATCAAGTAGAATATTTCTTATTTTATTAACACTAACCGATCATTGACTAGTAGACAGTATTTTATTACCTGGCCCTTTAGTGATAATCAGGTATTATATCTGCATTTTCGACATAGTCTATTCTATCTACGTTTTCCGAAACCGTATCACCGAGCATCACAATCAAATATGCCATGATTGAAGAAGTATTTGTAAGGCTGTCTCTTTGAGCAATTGGCTGCTTGAGACTTGTGTTACGTGTTTTGGACGACTTCCAATTAATACATAAGTTGACTAGCTCAACTGATGAATTAGTATTAAATGTTTACATATTTCAGGACAAAATTCATGAAGAAAGTATCATCATCCTAAACCTAGTTAAAAATAGGTATGAATTAAACCACTGAAATATAGATCATTCGTGAAAAACTCGTCATTACCTCCCACTAGGTAGTCCCTCTAAAATCGTTGTCCATAAATGTTGTAAGGTATTTTCTGTACTAGCTTCAGTAATAACAAGACTACCGTTCGGTAACATTACTGAATCATCAAAAAATGTAACTTTGAAATCTTCATCTAAGGGGAACAATTTTTTCACACTACCTAAAATATGCAAAAATATAATCAATACTATTATTATTACTATTGTTTATTGAACTGACCATCTTTTACCGAGACAGAGAATACACCTAAATAGGCATCCGTGACCAAGAAATTCTCCGAATTGTTGAACAATTTTAAACCTAATGGTCTACCACATTCATGTACACCAACTAAATATTTGGTGTATTAGTTAAGCTATAAGCTATAAAGAACAATATTACCGCAGTTTGGTGAACCAAGTGTTGCATGAACATAAATCCTAGAATCATTTATTTTTAATATTTTCCCTTGAATCACTGTGGCATACAATGAACCTATTGGATAATTTCCCAATTAAGAAAACTAAACAAAACTACACTACTTACCATCATGGTAAATTAAACTTTCAGGACCACTGTAATTCATTAAATCAATCTTTTCTAACTTTCCATATATCTTATTTGTAATAAGTTGATCATTCAGCTGAATGGATGGATTAACGTGATAAGTATATGAATCGGTTGATTTATTCAGAAAACAGAGTATTATATACCCAATGCAAATGACTGTTATTGATCTAAAAACAAGCTTTCTCAGTTCTGCCATTAGAGCTGATTTTTTATGGTTGAGAGCAATAGAATCACTTATTAAGCTTTCTATATATACTATAAGTAGACTAAGATCGCTTTGAAAAACTACATATATGGTCATATATTGTTGCATTGTTGAACATGAATTCAGTGACCTAAAGGTCAATTCACAAACATAGATTCTCTATTGTGCCTTACACAATAGAACATATTATTGTTGGTCTTATGACTAACGTTAAATATGTAAACATATGCTAATAATCGTTTTTTAATTTGATTGGTATTTTGATAGTTTTCTTAAGTGATTATCTATTTTGTTTAGTTTGACACGATATATGAAACGATGAACTTAGTGTATGACAATTGTGATCTATTAGAGGGAAACTCTGATATGTCAGATGGTCGAAAGTATTTGACAGGAGAAATGTTCCGTGATTTTCACTGGTACCTTAACTAATATAGATCTGTAGCTGAATCTAATCACGAATTGAAATAAACTTCGCAATACCTTCAAAATGAATTATGATACAGGTAGATCAGAGAATCTAGTGACACATATTTAACTTCTATGCAATTTCACACTAAACTAAGTATGAACTCAGTATTTCATTACTTTTTTCTATCTTTGCAACAGATTATCTCGATGCTTCCATTCCCACTAATACCGAAAGGAAAATCATCAATGTTAATTCGTTTAGATGAAAATGGACAGGTAATTGAAATTTGGAAAGATTTTCAAAATGAATTACCAAATGCTTGTGAAGTACTAGAACATGATGATACTTTATACACTGGAAGCTTTTATCTACCTTACATTGGTCGTTTAAGAAGATTGTCAAATTAATTTTTATGAAATTAGTTTCAGAAGATGAATACTGTGTAATTTGATGTTGTTGTTGTTGTTGTTGTTGTTGTTATTTATTCAGCACATTGATGATAAATACTTTCCATGTTTTGATTTGACTTATCTTTAAAACATTCATCAATATCTTGTTTTCTTATGTTTTTTTTCGTTGTTGTTGTCACTGTTGGTAGTTTGACTTAGTTATTTCTCAATATTTAATTATTCTGTACTAATTGTGTAATGTGTGAATTACTTAATCAATAATAAATGACACAATGCCATTTACATTTATTGAATCAATCAGATCATCTTTTAATTATCTATCTATAAATCAGTTAGCTAAATTCGTGAATTGATATTATTGTGCATGTTAACTTGCTTATGTTACGTAATACTTGTGGTTATTATAAAACCTTGATAAAAAGAAAATGATACAAGTGTAGATTTGCTTTCTTTTTTCTAGTAGCGATCCAATCATACCAATTAATGCCTAAACTAAAACTTATTTTATTTAATAAAGTAGTTGTAAAATAATTATTCTAGGTAGACCAATGTCAGATAATTATTTCCTTAGAAGGAAAATGAAGTAAATAATTTATTATCTAAGTGGTATACAAAGTGATGCAATTTAGATACTCAGCTGATTACCCCAGCATTGGTGCAGCTTATGTTTCTTTTAAATCCGTACACTCTGGATTTTGTTCCAATTTATAACTTCATTTTATTAGATTTTTAATAGTGAATATTTTTTTGACATTGATAAGAGGAAAGGGAGCTCATTAAAGAGACTGAATGACAGTTACAATTTATTATGTATTTACTGAAGTTAGATAGACCATATTGAATTTGTGGATTTGAGTTTGAATAATTTACTCTACACAAAGTTTTAGGTGTTTTCTTTGGAAGTGAAAATATTCAATTTTTCATATAAATTGAATGGGTAACAATTTAAAATGTTAAAGAACGATTGTCTGTGTTCATTGCATAGAGTAAGTAGTACATTTTTAGCAGTTGAATTCACATCAACAACATTGTTGTACATGCTAATAAGGAATAATAAGAGAAAATACTTTTACATTAATAAAACTTTTATGTAATTGGTTTAGCTACAAAATTCTTAATCGATCTACTGGAGTGGATTCATCAACCAGAATCTGGAGTTATGTCTCTGACTCGAGTATACCATCTAATCTACAAAATAACGATGTGGACGTGACCAATAATTGGGCTAAACTGGCACAATTAAGCTTGAGAGGTGACGAAATAATCTAACACCTACTAATCCACCAAGAGGGAGGCCGAAGAATACACTACGTCGGGAATTGGATGTCGACATGAAAAGGATGAATAGCATCTGGAAGGAACTGGAATGGATTGCCCAGGACAGGGTTGGATGGAAAGTGTTGGTGGGCGGTTTATGCCCCTCCACGAGGGGTGACTGGCGTAAGTAAGTATGTAAGTACTGGTCCGACAAACTCACGACTTTCTTGTATCCCAATACTGAACCCAGTAAGAGAACAAAGCAGACGAGCTTCTATACTTCAAAGAATCATGGATACTATATTGGAATCATCAGATCACAACACGCTCGAGGAACAAAATCCCACTCTACATATATTATCAAGCTGTAAGCGACAGAATGTGGCATAAGATAAATAATCAACCAACAACAATTAAGGCATGGTAGGACATATGTGAACAGTCAATGAGTTCAACCGAAGCTTATGATAAAGGAAATGCACGTTTATAATAATCCGTTCATTTAATGATTATTCAACATTTATATAGTGTAAAATACTCCCCAAAGTTACCATTTCCCTAATATTTATTTTGTCACTACAACATTATTCACAACCTATTCAGTTTTCTGTTGTTTGACTTTTTCCACACATGGTTATGATTTATATTCAGATCTTCCTTATTGCAATCAACTTCAGTGTGTTTTTTTAACGTATGATACACTACTAATTCCTTTTTTACATAAACATAAACAAATTTTACTGTTGAAGTTACGTTCGATAACGTTTGTCATAATGAGTAGTATCACAACTTAAAGTAGTTGTGTTTTAATTTCAGATCTATGAAACAATGCAGTAGCATGGACAAACTCAGTAGGGATTCAGCAGTACTAAATAAACTAAGAGTTCGTAATCAAGTATTTTGTTAACACACCGAGTACATATTTGTTTGAGATAGTTAACATAGGCTTATTATTCTATCAATCATTCGTCATTCACATTTTTCATATCACTTGATTTATGGAATGACTAGTGATGACGAAAACTTGTTGTTCACGTTTGACCTTGACTTCTTTATTGAAATTTTTTTTTCCGTTTCATGATGCTGATTGTCGCCCACAAACATATGACTGTTTATACATTCTAGTTCTAATATAATCAGCTGTTATATTGACAGATCATTCATATACTTACTTACTTTCCTGATTATTAATTAATTAATTAATTAATTAATTAACTACTTATTTACTTACACCTCGAAGAAAGTCATAGGCTACACATCAACATTCTCCATACAACACTGTCATGGATAATCCTTTCCAGTACTTTCCAGTTGTTATTCATCCTTTTCATGTGTGTTTCCAATTCGCGGCGTAGTGTGTTCTTCGGCCATCTTCTTTTTCGTTTTCCTTCAGGGTTCCCAGTTGGGGCTTGTCTCGTGATGCCGTTTGGCGATTTCCGTAATGTTTGTCCTATGCAATTCCAACGTCTTTTCTTAATTTACTCATCAGATGGAGTCTGGTTTGTTCTCTCCCACAGTAAGCTGTCGCTGATTATATCCGGCCAGCGGATATCCTGTGTAGACAACTGCTTATAAATACTTGTACCTTTTTGATGATGTTTGTAGTAGTTTTTCACGTTTCAGCTCCATACAGTAGAACTGTCTTGACGTTCGTATTACAGATGGTGACTTTGATGTTGACATGCAGACAGTTGTATTGAGTTCCATATGTTGTTCAACTGTAGGAATGCTGCTCTTGCTTTGCCAATCCTCGCCTTTACATCTGCATCTGATCCTCCTTGTTCATCGATGATGCTTCCCAGTTAAGTGAAAGACTCCACAGCTTCCAGAGTTTCTCCATCAAGTGTGATTGTGTTGGTGTTCTCCATGTTGTGTTTGAGGATCTTGCTCCTTACCTTGTGTATATTGAGCCCTACTGTTATAGAGGCTGCTACTATACTAGTTGTCTCAATCTGCATTTGTTGATGGGTATGGGATAGAAGGGCCAGCTCATTTTCGAAGCTCAAACCTTCTAATTGATTCCGAGCTGTCCATTGCATTCCGTGCTTGCCCTCAGACATCGAGGTCTTCATAATCCAGTCGACCACCAGAAGAAAGAGCAAGTGGGAGAGTAATCAGCCTTGTCTGAAGAAGAGGAAGAGATCATTCATATAACTGTCACATAAATTTACAGATTACATCTATTTCTACATCAATGAGTTATATTTGATAAATCACTCTGAATTAAATGACAGTTTTGGAATCACGAATTACTTATTAGAATTGTGAATCTGGTAGTGACCAAGTAGAACAAACTGCATTTATCAAATAAAGCAATGTCTAGTTTTTCATTTGCCCACCTATAGTCTTCTATATTATGAACTGACTCTACACTTCACTCAACAAATTCGTCACCATTCTGGTATTTATATTAGTGATCTGTAACATATTCTGCTCGTTCACTCTTCTATCTAGCCGATTAAATAACGTATGGCAGCAATGTCGCTAGGTTCCATACCAATAGGTTTTACGCAAGAACAGTTCTGTTTGTTCGGACTAAAGTTGAAATAACTTTTGTCATGACTAAAACTACTGAATTTCGATAGCAACCGCAGCAAAAGTGTAGAAGAGAGAATAGACAAAATTAAGAAGTACACAGTTTATCAATTGTTGTTTCAATTATTTGCAATAATATATGACAGTTTCAGTAGCTAATTTTGATAAACTTGAAATATGGATGAGAAGATTTCAACAAAATTATTGGTATTAGTTTACTAACAGAATAAACCGACCATTCAGGTGAAGATAATTGTATGAAACACAGTGTAGATAACTCATTCCCTACTATTACTTCCACTACTACTACTACTACTACTACTACTACTACTACTACTACTACTACTACTACTACTACTACTACTACTACTACTACTACTACTACTACTACTACTACTACTACTACTACTACTACTACTACTACTACTACTACTAC